GGTCTGATCCAAACATGGACACGCTGGAAAAAGGCCAATGGGAAGAGACTGGAGAGATAACAAGGTGCTACAGCAGGAAGTGAGTCCAGCACATCGGCTGGTCAGGGTGACCTACCTGCCTTCGTTGACCAACTCAATGAAGGCCAGTCCTGCATTCTTCTGGATGGAGTTCTGCCACTCCTGCAAACCAACACAAACAACACAAATGAATTACTGGTGACGCTTAAAAACAGAGGCAAGACATTTGTGAAATTTGGCCTATTTGAAGGAAATATATGATTTTAAATCCTTTTATTTCAAATCATTCAGTTGGAGTCTATATAATGTGGAACTGTGATGCTTTGGTCTGAATTCTTCCTTATTGTAACTCCACAAGCCCCTCTTTAAACTCATTTTGACGCCGTCTCTTTAAATCCAAACGTGGCGCTTCACACTCCGACCCCTCCAGCTTCCGGTGAGGTTCATTCTAGTTTCGCAGAGAGGTTTATGACTATACAGAGGCACAGAAATGTTTTATTTACAAATTAATTAAAAGATGTCAACAATGGAAGACTTGTTCATGCAGCCTTCCATGTTGGAGCCAGTCTGACCCAGAGTTAGTAATTCTGTCACAAATACAGTGACAGAATCATTCAGAAAACGTCATAGAAAAATGAAAATTGAACAGGTTGAAACATATTTAATGGCTTAAAAAGTGCAGAATATGTCCCCAAAAAGTACAAAGTAAATGACCAAGTTTAAAAAAGGCACCTATGATACATAATAAAAACAAAAAATTCTCTCATATTGTAATATTCAACATAAATATAACTTTGTTTTCCCTAATACTGTGCACCCTTTATCATTAAGCTGAAGAACTTCAGACTTCATCTCAAAGACTGAAGTTCTTATTTTAAATAATATATTTTTTCCAAAGCAAATAAGTAATTCATATTAAAAAAAAACAACAATAAAAATTAAAGCAGAAGGAAGTACCAACTGTTTCAATTAGAACAGGCCACAAGTGAAAGGTGTGTGTCCAGAGTGCATTTATCACAAGTAAATACACAAATTTCTTCCTCTCCCTGATTAACGTTATGGTTCAAGGTGTCAGTCTAAACAATCTAACCACAGCTGTGTGCGACTCCACGTCCTCGACTTGGAAAAGGGACAAAAAGAGAAGGGAAACTCGGCGGTCATCGTCTCTCTCGTGTTCTGTTCAATATTTCAACACCTTCAACGCAAGCGTCAAAAGAATAATAAAGCAACAAGGTCATGGGTCCTGTCTGAACCTCAAAGAGCCCCCCCCCTCCCTTCCTCTCAAGGGAAATGGAGAAATATGTGCAAAGAAAATCTTCTTGGAAACCTAAACTACTAAAGAGCTCCTTTGAATTATTCACAGCTCAAAGACGATACAGGTACCTTTTTTTTCCTAATCTTATCAAAATGTTGATATTTTCTTATTTCTTAAATATAAAAAGGGTTTTGTTTAAAGCAAAACATAAAGTGGAAACAGAAAAAAATATAAGATACTTTTTTTAACTCAGCTGTCATCATCTATCGTGGTGACAGAGGAAACTGTGTGTTTATGTAGAGGCTTGCTTTTCAGTAAACCAAGAGATCCCAGAGGGAGCAGGATATCAACGCTACAAGGAGGAAGGAAAGATCCATTTACAAGAATTTCTAATACTCATCCAAACATATTTGTCCATGTGTGACGCATTTAGAAACCGTATAGCTTCTCCCTCTTCTGCACAACAAGCACATAGCCATCAAAACCAATCACACGCCCAGGCCGAGGCGACCATTCTTCTTCTAAGGAAAAAAAAAAATGTCTGCGCACCATCACTCTGTAGCCAGCTGCACGTCACACAGAAAACATTACACTTAACCTCAATTCATAACCGCTTTTTGTCCTGCGAGGCCATATTGGCGTTGACCATGTTTACAATACATTCCAAATAAAGAGGGCACAGTGGGAATAGAAGTCTGGGCTTTGGGAGAGATGGGGGGAAACAGCGTGGAGTTCTGGCAGACGGCTTTGGAGGAAGTGTGTGAGAGCAGCCTTGGGGCTTTAGCTGAAGCACGGCGTGTAGTTCAGGGACATTAACCATGAGTGTAAAGCTTGTGGCTGTACGCATATTCTACACCAAAACTAGATTTAGTGGTTTTCAAATAAACACTACAGGAAATAGCGGTGTAAATAAAAGACGCAACCTGCAAAGAAAAGGAGGGGGGAAAAAATACAAGTTTTTATTTAGGATTTTAGTTTTGGCTTTAATCTAAACTAAACCATTTTTAGCTATGATAATATTAAACAGATAGTTTTGCTTCTAAATTTGGGTTGCGTAAAAACATAAAGGCCACTGACATTTTGTGATCACAGACGAAGCTGATAGCAAGACTGATGGCGTCATTATTGGCTAAAAGAACGACTCCTCTAGTCGAATTTAAAAAAAAGCAATGACCCTGATCTGAGGGACATCTCCCGGTGACAAAAAGGAAACTGGGACAGGTCGGTGATAGAATATTGGATTTTTGGTTGCCCTGGTCAGTGATGTTGCAGCTTTTATGGCTGCGATAGGGGCCACGACCGCAGCACTCCTGATGAGAGGATACAAGCAGCCATTTGTGACCTTTAACCTTTAACCTGACCTTCTAACTGCAAATAGGACAACAGAGTGTGTTCTTTTCCTTGATCCTGACCGAAAAACTAGTCGACAGACAGAAATTGTCCAGATGTTTTCTATATCTGCCGAGAGGTAAATTTTGTTTTCCCATTTTTTGTGTGCGCATGTGACCGTGAGCTCGACTATTCATGGAAATGCCCGTTTAAATCTGAAGTCGATACGACAGCTCTGTTTGGTCTGTGTTCCATGATGATGGCGTTGAGTCTAAACACACATGCCATGCGCTTCCGTCATTACAGCTGATTATCCATAATCAACATCTAAATATACCACCGGCACTGGTGAGAAAACACAGAGCTCCTGAGCAAAATCGCCTTTCAAACATCAGGCTCGCCACAACACAAGGAAAACATTTTCTAACACTGAAGGAAGAAATGTCCCAGCTCTCCAAAAAATAATAAATAAGTCAGCTGTGCTTTTGGGGGGCATCACTCATAATCACAAGTATTTGTTGATTTGAAAGGCTATGGGAGTACAACATTGCATGGGATGACAAAAACATAAATTCTCAAGTCAAATACGGTAGCGCTGCAGAGGCAAGCTAAGAGCTACTTTTTTTTCTTCATTTCATATTTATACACATTGAAGATCTTATTGCAATAAGAACTAAAAGTAAATCTGCTGGATAACTTAAGACAATGCAACAATGAGTACTGCATATTTATTTATATTAGTAATAAATGTTGGACTGATTAATACAGAAGCTGGTTTGTTAAGTTACACTTTTATGTAACAACAGTGTGTTCTGGACAGCCCTCCTGTGAGTGTTCATATGGCAGCGGCTTAAAGAAAAACAGGCAGTCGTGTTGGTGTTTGCGTGATCAAATTCACAACTGAAGGAATATTTACTGATGTCCAAATATTTATACAGCCGGGTCTCCGAGAGCTTCATGGACTCACACTGTCAAGACTAAACTAACACAGAGTGAGAGGACTGGACCTAAAGCATCCACGTCCCAAACACACTGTCTGGTAAAAACAGTTGAACTGACTACATAAAATCATTTAAAGCAGAACTCATGAACATGCAATGAATGTTGAAGTTCTTTTACTTTTCCTGCGATACAATGCACAACTTTTTCCAGTCATTGTGCGTGGACATAATGATTGTAAAGTGTGAGGAAAACGAGACAAACTGAAACTGCAGCTGTTGCAGCCTTAAGTTGAGCAGATGTTGCAAAGGTCCTCACCTGATCCAAAACTATAAATTTTACTACTTTAAAATGTAGCAATATTGATCTGAAAGAAAAGTCTTAAATATCAACCAAGGGTTTATTTTTCAATAACTTTCTGGATTTAAAAATACATATAATAATCAAACACACACAAAAAATATGATTTAAGTACAAAAAAATATATGCAATCATCTCATTACACAGCTCTGAAGAGACATAACATGCTGTATTAGTCTAAGCTGGAAAACTAATACAAATTATACATAACATTTAAAAAAAACATATTTTGAAGCATTTTTTTAATCCGTCACTATGACACTGAAGTACAAAAAAAATTACTAACCCAGACAAGATGTTTTTTCATGTATTTTTACCTGCCAAGACTGCAGGTGATACTGCCAGCTCAAGCCCATCCTATTGATTCCTGTAATATTTAAACTGTGCCTTTCGATCTTCCACATACTGTATCTAACTTTTCAACATTTTGTGAAATGGATTTTTTTGATGTTTCTGTGTACTTGTCTGTATTTTTCTATCCATTAGTCTTTCTATTTATTGTTCCATCAATTACTTCATATTATATTTTTATATTTTTAAGTTTTTTAAAGTTCATGGTTTGTTAACATGATTTTAATTTTATTTTATTGTATTTTTATTCTGTTGTGCAGCACTTCGGTTGCCTTGTGGTGTGTAAAGTGCTACATAGAGTTTTGATTGATTGATTATCAATAATTTACACAACAGCAACATAATCTCTTTTTGAATAAAAAAGTTAAGTTTTTATATGTAAATACTCTTTGTGATAATATAAAAAAGTGTTAGTTGGGACCAGTGGAAGTCCACAAATAAAAAAATATTGGCTCAACTAAAAAGATTCCATTTTTAACCATCCAATCCCCTGCCCTCCTCTAAAACAAATAAACCACCTTTTCCAGTTTTCTGTGTTGGAAATGTTCTGAAACAAAAAATAATAATAAGATAAAAAATAAATAAAGAACTGGTAAAGAAACCTAAATCAAAACATTTTTGTAACTAAAGCTACAACCAGTACTTTATTTCATAGGCTAGAGTCAATTTTAAACTGTATTTAGTGACGAGAGAGAACTTTAACATAAATAACTGTGAGTAAATGGGTCCTATACCCGACCTTTTCTTTTAGTAGGCCTTTGGGATAGTTGGGAGAATCTATACTCTAGTTATTGCAAAAGTACATCATGTCCAAGGTTTAAATCCCTCTTTTACCAGATAAAAATATCTTGAGATGACTTTCCATTGCAAATCTGAGCAAAGACGCCAGGACATGATTTTATCAGCAGGGTAGCTGAGAGAATAGCGG